TATATATAATACTGAGTCTAATTAGTGTTGTGCAAATGCATAGGTGTAGGGTTGACCACTGGAGCATGGGCAACCTATCAAGTGGCTAATCCCTGGAGAAAACTGACTCTCATTACCTTTTAATTGTGTGTAGTTCTTCAACTAGGAATGAGACCTTATAACACCTTCCAACATCCTTGCTGTAATATTGACTGATGTTGCCTTGGGCAAGTAACTGTAGTTATTGAGAGTTCATGGGTGCATCGTCCCTGTCTTATCCAGAAGACAGTATTGTGCAGGAGTCCTTCTGGTCCTCTGGCTCTTACAACCTTTCTTACCCCTCTTCCGTGATGCTTCTTGAGTCTTGGGCATAGAGGTTGTGTTATAGATTTCCCATTTGGGAATGGGCACTCCATAGTCATTTGTTCTCTGGGCTTTGACAAGTTGTGGTAGTCTGTAATAACCTCCATCCATTCAAAAAAGAAACAGGTGAGGAACATGGGTGAGAGTGACATGCTTGTGATACAAATAATAGTGTTACTTAATGTTCAACTTAACTGTTTAAGCAAGTTAAGAGAATGCTCAGCTTGCCATTGTGAATGTACATCTTCCAATTCTTCTCTTAGAAGTTCAAAAGAAACTTTTGCTTTTAAATTCCTGACAGGGTCAGTCACTTTGCACTCACAGATCTGGGTTGTATCTGTGAATGGTGCTTCTCTTGAAAGAGGGTTGGTTTTTCTTTGACAAAGGATGGTCCCAGGGCCTCTTTAGCCTCTTACACGCTGGCTTGTACTTGGGTATGTAGCTGTTGAAGTACCAAGGAAGGGTTCCTAGTGTTGGCCATGCCCTGGGCAGGTGCAGGCCTTCCAGACTTGCAGGATGTGGATAGAATATATTGTCTTTTATGTGTAATCTTGTCTGAGAAATCAGATGTGGAAGAAATCACCACAAGTGGATCTGTTTATCTATCACAGCTGGAGGGGTTGTTTTCTCAGACCTGACTTCCTACCTCTCAATAGGGGGTTTGTAAGAAGGTTTTAAATGTGGGAAAACCCCTTGAGGAAGGCTTTCTATTCTGAATGGAGAGAGAAAGGCCTGAGGGAATGCTTTCATCCAACTCCTGTTTATGGACTGGATATTATCAGAGGCAGGCACAAGATACCCATCTATGGGATGTAGTACTTCATGAAGACCAATCTAAGGAAACAGCTTGACTCACAGCCAGCTAAGGAGACAGTCCTCTCTGACCACTCCATCC